ATGTCATTATTTTCCTGCTTTATACTCTCATCTATGTAAAGAAATTTTAATATTAATCAACTTCAGTGAATGATTCCAATTAATCCCCTTCTTGGACAACAATCAACCTACTTCTAAGTATGTCTCTTGTTTCTTCATCCAACTCTGATAGATCAAGGAGATAACTTTTGGACATTATGCTTGTGTTCAGCCATAATAATTAAACTGTGAAACTCATATCAATCATGTCTACAGGTAGTTCTTGACTTATGACCACAACTGGAACTAGAATCTCCACTACTAAGCAAAATGGTTGTTAAATGAGTTGTGCCCAATTTTACAATTTTTTTATTATGGTTGTTAAGCAAATCATATGGTCATTAAGCAAACCCAACTTCCCCTAATAATTAGCTTAGTTTATCATAAACTATTATTTCCAAAGATTGAGTTAATAAACTCTCTACTCCAAAAACAAGCAAATCTGAACCAGGGCGCAGATGATACACAATTCAGCTTTGTTTTTTAATTATTATCCTGATTACCACAATCAAACAATGGGAATTGGAGAAGCATGTTCTATTTTTTTAAAAAAAAAAAACACAACCACCCCGTGTTCCCACAATTTGTGGGAATTAATTTCAAAGACAGCAGTTACAGTACATCAAGAAAATGAAAGACACACGGTTGACCAACATAGGGCATTTTTGCAAAACACACCCACACTCCGAAGTGGGTGGAACAGAAATCAGAGGCGCAGTAGGGTTTTTTTATTTCCTTTGTTTAGCTCTACAAGAGCAAGGGATGTAAGAGACTAGCATTATTAGCGTTTTTCATTTTTAATAAGAAACATACCAGCCCTGAATGCCTCCGCGAGCTTGGGAGGCAAGGGACACCAACATTTCCAACGCCGTCTTTCAGACATGGGAGGGCGGAGGCTGAACGTCAAGAAACCTCAAATCCATCCGCATACCCAGCCAGTAATTCTCATCCTACATGCAGCAAATCCCGCTCAGGGAAGCTAGATCCGTTGAGGGGAGAAAGAGCAGCTGAGTGACTGAGACAGAGCCGTAAAGTAGAGATCCCCTTCTTACTACAGTACTTTGAATGCACGCAACGGGCTTGCGATGGCCCTTTCTTAAAGATGCCCGCCGCTCCCCGGTTGCCTACCGAGACACTGCAAATTCTGGTCGAGCGAGTCTCTTGACCGGCTCGGCCCAGCCAGTTCAGAGACGCCAGCAAAGAAGAGAGGGTGGAGACCATGGTTCCGATGGGCGTGGTTTCGATAGAAAGGGCAAAGCTTTCTTTTACACAGGGCAAAAGATCGCCGCCAGAAGCTAGATTTCTAGTTTTCTCTGAGTAGATTTTCTTCCAAGCATCCCTTTAGAAGTGATTTTGATAATGGACCTTGGTAAGCTCGTGAACTAGACTGTTGCTACCCACGGGGTTGTGTGTTAATGGAGCCTGTTTCAGACATAGGGAAATTAAGTGCTGGAAATAAAAGCAGGGGTTCTGTGTTTGAATTGCCCTCCCAAAACACACACCAAGATTCTGCAAATTGCTGCTTCACCCGGGCTGGGTGGTGGGAATGTTCCCTAGTCTGTGCCAAGAAGTCACCCAAGGCATGAAGGTCATCGCCAGCTGCCCAGCTGCAGATGTTGCATTGGGCAGTCATGGGAAGGCCCTGGAGGCAGAAGGTCACTGTAGTGACAATGGCGAAGGCGTAATTTGCAGGAGAAGCAGTAGTTTTTACCAAGAAAATAATATGTATGGACAATAGGAAATGACTGACAAAGTGAGATTGGATGATGGGCTTCATAGGTCAGATGGTGCCCAGCTTGCAGTTGAGAAAGAACTGAAGATCTTCTGGAGTATTAGAGTAATGGGGCTAATGGCATGACTAGATTAAAACCCTGATGTCTGCTTGTTAATGTTGTCATGCAGTAAAAGAGCATCAAAGCTGCAAAGACAAAATTACAATGAGAACATGGAATGTAAGAAACACGAACACCAGGAAAGCTCAACACAATGAAAGATTAAATGAATTGATTACACATTGACTCTTAGATATCAATAAACTGAAATGGTCTAGAATCAGGTAGTTTCAGTTAGACTAGCATACCATTTACTATTCAGGACATAAAAAACAAAGGAATGTCATTGCTTTCATAGTAAAAAAAGATGTTTGGTACTGTGCAGTTAACAGCCAAATAATATCAATTGATCTTTAATATAAAAGTTATCCAAGTTTATACTGCAGCTACTGATGGAAAGAAATGCAACTGAGTTCAAATGTATTGCTTGTAGAGGCTGGTATGCCAAGATTGGAAATACTGAGGAAAATATCTGGTCTAGGAAACTGAAATGAAGCAGGAAAATAACTTATAAATTTACGTCAATCTAATTATGTCAGTGTTAATACAATCTTCAAAAAACCAGATACCTATACAAAAGGAATACCATCAGATAGAGAATAGAAAAATCAAATGAACTACTCATGTACTTTGACATCAATAGTGCTAAGAGCTACTTGTAGAACCCATGATAAAATTCTGGGGTTATCAGCATCTTACATTCTACCCTCCGCTAAAGTTATTGGGCAGTTTGGCATGGGCAAATTGGCAGTGGTTAGAATTCTAGGAAGTGGAATTATTGGCATCCAATTGTTTTGCAAACTTTTTAATTCCTTTCCCAGACTCATAGGCATATATAACCTCTCTGAAAGCCTGAGTTTTGATTTGATGTGGTGTGGGAAGTCAGCCTCCCCCAGAGAAAGAAATATTTTTGGGAATATTAAAAGGCAGAATATTATATTTCCCCAAAGGATCTTAAAGGCAGAAACCACCCTTCCCCCAAGTCTCTCTGCTGCAAACAAAAACCAGGTCTGCAGAAATGCAGATGTGATAATCTTGTCAGAAAGATTGGAGCCAGGAAGCTTGGAACTGATGGGATTAGAAAGACAAAATCCTAGAACAGTGATGGCGAACCTTTTAGAGATCAAGTGCCCAAAAACCAGACCTGCCCCGCCCTGCCCACCCGCAGGGCCACCCACCACCTCCACAGCCCACTGCAGATCACCTTTAAAGGAAGCGGTGGTGAGACCCCTCCTCAAGAAGCCTTCCCTGGACCCAGCTGTTTTGAAGAACTTTCGTCCTGTCTCTAACCTCCCCTTTGTGGGGAAGGTTGTAGAGAAGGTGGTGGCGTCCCAACTCTTGCGATCCTTGGATGAAACTAATTATCTGGACCCTTTTCAATCTGGTTTCAGGCCCGGCTACAGCACTGAGACTGCTTTGGTCGCACTGATGACCTCTGGCGAGCCTGGGATAGGGGTCACTCTATCCTGGTGCTTCTTGACCTCTCAGCGGCTTTCGATACCATCGACCATGGTATCCTTCTGCGTCATCTCGGAGAGGTGGGGGTGGGCGGCACCGTATTGCGGTGGTTCTCCTACCTCTCTGACAGGTCGCAGTCGATGCTGGCGGGCAGACAGAGATCGACCCCTAGGCGCCTCGATCATGGGGTGCCTCAGGGCTCGGTCCTGTCCCCCCTCCTTTTTAACATCTACATGAAACTGCTGGGTGAGATCATTCGGCAGACACGGGGGGAGGTATCATCAGTACGCGGATGATACCCAATTATATATCTCCACCCCGTGTCCTTTCAGTGAAGCAGTCGATGTGATGTGCTGGTGCCTGGAAGATGTGAGGGCCTGGATGGGGGTGAACAGGCTTAGACTCAACCCTGACAAGACCGAGTGGCTCTGGGTCTTGCCTCCCAAAGGTCAACTGGATGGTCCATCATTAGTCCTGGGGGAGGCAAATTGACCTCCCTCAGTGCAGGCACGCAACTTGGGTGTCCTCCTGGACTCACAGCTAAATTTGGAACAACATCTATCGGCTGTGGCCAGGGGAACCTTTGCCCAGGTTCGCCTCGTGCACGTCACCTCAAGACTGGATTACTGTAATGCGCTCTACATGGGGCTACCCTTGAAGAGCGTTCGGAGGCTGCAGTTGGTTCAGAATGCAGCCGCGAGAGCAATTGTGGGCGCGCCAAGGTACGCCCACGTCATCTATCCTCCGCGAGCTGCACTGGCTTCCTGTGGGTCTCTGGACGCAATTCAAGGTGTTGGTTATCACCTTTAAAGCTCTTCATGGCATAGGGCCAGGTTACTTACAGGACCACATACTGCTGCACAGTTCCCAGAGATCGGTGAGGTCCCATAGATTGGGCCTCCTTCAGGTCCCGTCGGCCAGACAATGTCGGCTGGCGGGCCCTCGGGGAAGGGCCTTTTCTGTGGTGGCTCCGACCTGGTGGAATCAACTTCCCCCCGAGGTTCGAACAACTCCCACCCTGCCGGCCTTTAAGAAAGCCGTTAAAACTCTCCTGTTCCGGCAGGCCTGGGGCTGATGTCCCCAGGGAGGGCCGGGACATGATCGGACTTGCGGTATGATTGAATTATTTTATTGTTTTATTCTCGATGATTGTTTTAATTTTGTACGCCACCCTGAGTCCTTTGGGATTGGGCGGCATATAAATTAAATAAATAAATAAATAAAATGTTCACTTTATAAACATTGTTGAAATATTTATAAAGCATTGTCATTGCCATCTCCATGGATTTCAGCTTGTGAGTACCAAACTGTTACCCCCAATGTCCTTAATAGGCACCTACATTTTTATATTAAATCATTAGCATGCTACTTCTAACCACTGATCAAATCTTTCAGAAGAACAGCATTTATAAAACTGGCAATTTTATTTCCACAATCTTCTCAGAGTTGTTAATGTTCTATTTCAATCTCTTTGCCCACCCAAACATATATAATAAACATACATACATACATACATACATACATACATATATATATATATATATATATATATATACCAACATACATATAATATATATGTATATTATATACTTTATATGTATATTATATAATATACATATATATACATCAAGAGCTAATATAAAATTCAAACGTTTTGAAAAAGGTAAATTTAAAATTTTTTTACACCAACAGTAAAAGTGAATTAATATTTAATATACATTGAAAATTATCAAAAAGGTTAGTGACTATTTCCAATATTTGTAAAGGTTTATCTTCAGATCTACAAATTAGATACAATAATCTTGTGTTTTTTGCCCACAAAGTTCAACTTAGTTAAATGCTATTATACAATTAATTTAGTATCACCAATGGTAAAATTGGTATAAATGCATCTTTAACATGTTAAAGCATAGCAATCATTCCCATGTTAAGATATTTATTTGTTCAATAACAGTAAAGCTAAATTAAGTTAGTTAAACCATGGCAACATAACACCTGCACTAAGTTAAAGGACTTCAACTTAAATAAACATGTGCTTTCATTCTCTGCTTTGGTCCTGTTGACTGATAGTTAATGCATTGTTTGGTCTGTAGATGAAACCAGTGCCTTCATCTCCCAATTCTCCAAGCTGTTGAAGCGAAGAAACACAAGGGCTGTGCTCTTTCAGCATACTTGGTAACTTATTTGCTTTTTCATGGATGCGGCAGGACCGTCTCACAGGTGTTAGGAATTTCAGATTTTTAATGGTTGAATCATCACACTGCAGTCTTTTCTTTGTACTTGGGGTTAAAAAGAAAAACCATTTATGTATTTGCAGGATTAGAATGCAATAATTCAACGTGGCTTGGTAACAGAACAGCCTTAGTAAGTGAATAAAAATAATACAAATATTAATTTGGCATTGAATATTTGAATGTTGTAAGAAAAATGTATTGCTTCTCTATGGGTAGTGCATATACAGTACTTATTTCAGCCATGTATGATTTTAGGAACATAAAACCATGCCAGTTTCAAAGACTGATAATTTTGACTGCCATAGCTGGTTTAGAAAATACTTTAAGGCAGTGATTCTCAACCTTTCTAATGCCGTGACCCCATAATATAGTTCCCCATGTTGTGGTGACCCCCAAGTGAGTGTGGCCACCAATAAGAGGGAGTAGGACAGCTAGGGAAAAGGGAAAAAAATGGCAGACAGCATGGTTTGGTGACCCCCGTGAAATGGTCATTCGACCCCAAATGGGGTCCCGATCCACAGGTTGAGAACCACTGCTTTAAGGTTTGATTTTTGGGGCCAAAGTTGTAAGTCTTAGTTATTGTTGCTATATACTTTTTTATAATGATATAGATCCAGATGACTTGTTTTATTACCTCTAAAAAGTAAATGGAAATTCCTAAAGAACTGATTCAGTGCTTTGTAATTTGATGGAGATCTGATTTATGGAATTTACTATTGGTTTACATTATAATTCGTAACTCCTAATTTATGACATGGTATCATATGTGAACTCAATTTTATATTACTGAAATGTGAATTACTTTGAAATTCTAAATATGCTATATCAGTACTAAATACAAATAGGTAAATCTTAATAAAGGATTTTACCTGTCAATTTTCACTAATCAGTTTTTGAGTCCTATAATGCAGGGGCCCCCAGCCCTGGGACTGATCCATAGCCTATTAGGAACCGGTCCGCATAAGCAAAGCTGAATCTGTGCATGCGCAGGATCTAAGTAGTGCACAAAACTACCACCACCACCTACCAGTCCATATAAAAACTGTTTTCCCCGAAACCAGTCCCTGGTACAAAAAAAGGTTAGGGGCCATGCTGTAATGGTTTCCAGCCAGTGGTGGGATTCAGCCAGTTCGCACTGGTTTGGTGGAACTGGTAGCTAATTTTTGTTGTTTGGTGAACTGGCGCCCTAGCCCTTTTTCCCAAGGCCCAGAACGGCCTGCCAGAAATACGTAAATGCTGCTTCCAGAAGTCCATTCTGGGCCTCGGAGGCCCAGAGGCGTCATTCCAGGCCCAGAACAGCCTGCCAGAAATGCATAAACGATGCTTCCGAAACTCCATTCTGGACTCAGAACGGACTTCTGGAAGTGGCATCCACGCAGAGAACCATTTGTTCACGTATTTGAATCCCACCACTGTTTCCAGCTATTACTTTTCTGAGAAGAAAAATAATAGCTGGAAACCATGAAATTTTTTTTTCCCAAACAAGATGAACTCAAATTGGTCAGGTTCACTTTTCCCAAACACTTGGATATTATACACAAATTGAGCATAACATGTTTTTCAGATTAAGGACAGTAACTCCACATCCTCAGACCCTACATGGAAAAGATCATATTAAGACTCACCTTTCCAAATGGGAAGTGGTTGACAAATTATATTTTATTAAATATGCGCCCTTTTCATTTTCAGGAGTTTGAATCTCTTGAAGTCTTTCTTTCTCTGCACTGGTATCAGTTTCTTCATTTTTTAAGTCTATAGGTTTCTGCATCTGTTCTTTATTTTTGTTCTTTTTTTTCTTAGGCAAGTCTTCTTTGATTTTTGAGCAAATTTCTGTTGATTCTTGAAAAGTTTCATTACTATGCTCCACCTTATTTTTCAAACTGACTTCCTTGAAAGCTTCTTCTATCTCTGTTTCAGCTGGTCCCTCAGGATTTACAATGTTTTCTTCCTTCACACATTCTGAAAAAATATAAATATATTCTGTCATAATATAAGGCAACTCAATATTTAAGCCTGTTAAAAGAAATTCAAAAGTTACAGATGGCAAATAAAAGTTATATACATTGCTTATAACAAGGATTGGGTTTAGCAGGGCAAAATTGAAGATTTGAAGAAACTAATCAATAATGTTAAATCTTACCATCAGTTTTTGGTAGATCTCGTCTAGTCTTTATAACATCTGCAAGTGTATGACGTAACTCATCCTTAGGCTGAAAGACCAAGTATAAATTTGCAGTTAGCTTAGCTAATTATTTTAGAAAATGTATATGACTGCCCAGCTCACTCACTGTGATTATAGGTGACTTATAACAGTAAAAACCCCTTACCTCCCCACATGACAACAATAAAACTCTTACCTCCCCACATGACAACAAATAAACCACTTGATGGGCTCTTTATCACCCTAAGCTCCTCAGGCCACAGGCAAATCCATGTCTTACAATTACTCACAATGTTATAAAAGATCAGTATTCAAATAAAACTGGAGATCCAAGTTCATTTTATTTTATTAATCAAATTTATATGGCCACCACCACACAGAAGGTGACTCTGGGCAGTATAAAAGAATAAGTTTAGTGTAACACACACACACACACACACACACACATACACACACACACACACACACTGTGTTTGCAGGCGAAACGGCTACCCAGTTGATTTCATCAGATGGTACAGCAGACCATACGAGCCTCGCAGAATGCAACACACAAGCACTACTATGGCATGGACAACTCTACCACATGTCAATGGGGTGTCAGAGGCGACGGCACAGATATTGATTCCATATAACATTAGTATTGCCCATAAACCGAATCAAACCCTTCATGCCAAAATAATGCGCCCCAAGGAACCATTCCCCAATGAAGAAAGATCTTCAGTGATACATAGAGTGAAATGTAAGGACTGTCACTGCAATTAATTGGGGAGATGACCAAAAGGCTTGGAACACGAGCTGGTCATTAGAGGACATGAGCAACGCTCACAGTTTGGGCCCATATGGCCAGGAACAATCACACGTTCAACCTTGCCAGGGGGGAGGCCATTGCCCAGGATGTCACTAAGGGCAGCCGGTTACTGAAGGAGGCTTGGCTGTCGGATGAACACTCAATTAATCGGATGAACACTCAATTAATCGCCACATAGAGTTACTGCCTGCTTATCAGGCACTAAGGAAGTGGGAACAGCGTAACAACTCACAACGAGTGCAACAGGCGCAGCCTACGCAAGACCAGAACCGCTGTCTCATGGAACAGCAAAGAAGCACGACTGGCAAAGGGAAGAAATGCCCAGCACAATTCGTACAGGAGCCAATGATGGGAGGTGGGGTGCCACACTCACAGCGGGGGGTGGGGATGGCCACAGGACAGGAGGCACTGGGGGACCATCCTAAAGCAACGTGTACCCAGATACATCCAAAGTGGGCAAAGAGAGAGACAAGAGAGGCGATGATCCCTGAGCTTACAAGTATACAAATGGATGTGAGTCTATTAGAAGCAATACGGTCAACTGGGGCGGGTAGACCAGTAATGCTTTCTATGAGCAGTGTGCACAAACTGCCGGTATAAGCAGGCTTTCGAACTTCCGGCATTCCACTCTGATGACATCGGCAGTTAGCCGACGAAAGCTAAGTTTATCAAACAGTTGTTAGTTTATTAAACAATTATATATATAATTGGCAAAGCAACTGAAAACAAAATTAAATTTAGTGAGACAGGTTTTAAGGATGTTTACCTGCGCTCCTGCAAGAATTGCCTTTTCATAGATAGTGATTACTTTTTCCGTGGAGCGAAACTGTTCAAGACGCATCTGGCACACCCAATACTTAGCAAACTTTTTTGCATCTGGTACTTTCATTATCAGGTTTTCCAAAATGGAATGTACTTTTTCACCTACAGAGCCCTGAAGAGAAATAACAAGGAGAAAATGCACTGAATTTCTTAAACTGTATGAGTTCTAGAGAAATGTTAGTATGTTGCATAAGCAGACTATAGGTAGTTGACTTACAACTATTCATTTAACAGTTCAAAGATACTAGTTTGAAAAAAAATGATTGATGACCTGTTCTCCGAGTTACGACCATTTCATCATCCCCAATTGTGATAACAATTAAATAGAATAGAAAACAGGTCGGCAACCTGCGGCTCCGGAGCCGCATGCAGCTCTTTGAGCCTTCCCCTATGGCTCCCAACCTCCTCTGCCATTTGCAGAGAGAGACAGAGACAGGCACTTGCGCTTCCCTTCCCTTCTCTCTCTCTCCCTCTCCCTCTGTGTGTGTGTGTGTGTGTGTGTGTGTGTGTGTGTGTGTGTGTGTGTGTAAAAAAAGAGTGGACTCACAGTATTCTCCGACAAGCTGAAAAGCTTATTTGGGCTGAGCTCCTCCTTTTGCTGCGTCTCTGCAGGAAGCAGGAAGCAGGAAAGAGCTAGCTAGCCCAGCTATGCTGACTCAGGAATTCTGGGAGTTGAAGTCCATGAGTCATAAAAGAGCCAAGGTTGCCTACCCCTGAGCTTGTTGGAGAACAGCTTGAAGCCAGCTTGCCAGGTGAGGAGAAGATCGGAGAGAGGGAGAGAGAGGGGGGAGAGAAAGAGAGAAAGAGGGGGAGAGGAGAGAAAGAGGGAGAGGAAAGAGAGAAAGGGAAAGGAAAGAGAGAAAGAGAAAAAGAAAAAGAAAGAAAAAGAGAAAGGGAGAGAGGGGGAGGGAGCGAAAGAGACAGAGAGACGCTTTGACAACTAAAATGAAGATAACACTGCATATATCTTTTTACCTTTATTATAGGTGTGTGTATATATGTATATATGCATGTGTGTATGTGTATGTGTATGTGTGCGTGTGTGTGTGTATAACCAAACAAATGTGAGCACCAGGGAGTGCTAAAAAATTTAATAAAATTTAGTAAAATGTCAATAAAATTACAATAAAACAAATAAAACGCCTAGCTTTCATCAGCAACTCTTTCAGTGTTTTGGGTTGCCTACCCCTGGACTAGAATAACAGAGTTGGAAGGGATCTTGGAGGTCTTCTAGTCTAACCCCCTGTTCAGGCAGGAAACCTTATACTATTTCAGACAAAAGGTCGTCTAATCTTTTCTTTAAAACTTCCAGTGTTGGAGCTCTGACAAAGTCAGTTGGGAAAGTCAGATTCACTTAATGACCAAGAGATTCACTTAATTGTGTGGTTCGCATGACTGCTATAAAAATTATCATAAAATTGGGTCTGGTCATGTGATGACTCACTTTACAAGTACACCACCTTACATCAGAAATGCCAGTCCCAATTGTGGTTTTAAGCCAAGGACTACCTGTAATGTATAAGCTTCTGTGAATTAGTTTATATTTTCATAATCCAGAGAAGAATGATTAGCCTTTTATGTAATACAAAACTTCAAAGAATCTTCTCTATTGTAGTAATAACCATCTGTGTTCCACAATTCAGTCTTTTATCCCCATTCAGGACAGATCTGATTGTTCTAGTAATTAAAATAGAAAAATGACACACAAGATTTTCTTATGATGTAGCCTACCAACTCTCTTCACGTTGATCCATTATAAGGCCAGTTGTTTTGAAAGTTCAGTATGCCTTGTAGCTTCAGAATTTATAGAACTGAATAAAGTACAAGAATGTTATAAATTCATCATTATAGTAGTTTATTTAAACATACCTTTTCAATGAGATCCAGACATTCTGCAAGCGTCTTGTTGACCTTATCACTAAGTAATCCTTGCTCATCTTCTTCAACGATTGTGGCCCAAAAGGATTCAGCTGGCTCTTTTGTAGTTTGCTGAGATGTTGCTTTTTTAGGCTGGCTATTTGCAGCTATGGTATTATGTTGCTTCTTTGTCCCTTTTGAAGCCTGCCATTCAGCTAGCTGAAGTCTAAAAGATAAATATGTAAGTTGATTAGTATAGTATTTCATTTTGTTTTTTAGCTAGAAATAGTTCGTATAGCAGCTACCCAGTTATCTAGCCACAGGGAAATGAGAATGTTAATTCACAGCTCCTCTCATATCTATCTCAAAGGACATTTATATTACAAAAGAAATAAAATCAACTATTAAGAACTGTAAGGTCCCAGTCCCTTATTTGAACTTGAGATACTATATCAATCTAACCCAGTAGTTCTCAACCTGTGGGTCGGGACCCCATTTGGGGTCGAACAACCATTTCACGGGGGTCGCCAAACAACGCAGTCCGCCATTTTTTTCCCCCTTTTATTCTATTGGCTTTTGAAAGCCAATAGAATAGACTCTCTTGAATAGAGTCTAATTCTATTGGCTTTCAAAAGCCAATAGGAATTGTCCAGGCTGTCTCTGCCCTGCTGAGCCTGCCAAAAGTCCCATTCTGCAAATGGTGCTGCACCAGTTGAGTAGTCCTTGACTTACAACCAGTTGAGTAGTCCTCGACTTACGACCGGTTGGGGGGGGGGTCGCAGCATTAAAAAGGTTGAGAACCACTGATCTAACCCAAGCGGAGACTTCTTGATCAAGCAGCACTTTATTTGATCAAATTAAGCAGCTGGGTGGCCAACGATCTGGAACGCTGACAGAGTTACGTCCAGAAGTGCCACGCATTAGAAAATTGGTAGCATTGCTTTATAAACTTTGTTAGCCAATGAAAATCAGACAACAGAGCCATTACATCATAAGAAAGACATCAATCATTCCTGTACACTCCCTTATTCCCTCCTTCAGTATATCCCAAGCTTACATGAAATTTCTCTGGTGCAAAAGCTGATTACAAAAAGCAAGAAAGCAACAGTTAGACTAAACAATTTCCCTTTGTTCCAGAACCCTTCAGAACAGTTAAACACTCAAAATTGCAATTACATGATTGTCAGAAAAATAAGGCAAAGATAACTGCTATTTGCAGCTATCAGAGCTAAGCTGAAAAAGCCAAACCTGCCTGTATTTTTGTGCCATCCAGCAATCAACTGGCAGTTGATTGGCCTACTGGCAGATCGAATGGCCTACCAAAATGAAACACCAGTTCCAGTGAAAACACAGAAATAAGCCTGTAAGCCTAAATAGCATCTAAGATTTCACATGTATAATTATATTTAATCATAATTATCAGATATATAGGACTAAAGCTAACAAAGTATGATTTATCACAGACTGGGTGAGGGAACACACAATTAAACATTTATCATCTGTAATAGCAGATGTGAAAGCATCCTGTTTTCAAGCCCCCAAACTCAGTATGTGCAATTGCTTTAAACTGTTGAATATTCAAGGCTAATTTAAACAAAGTAAATAAAAAATCTGAGTCATAAATATGAACTTGTGATGGTAGGGTGACAAGGGTTTAATTTCTCTTTTGTACAATCTGAATTTCTATGTTTAGAAATTGCTTGATTTTGGTGTACCATGTTGATCAAACCCAGCTAAATGAGATTTATTCCATAAAATCTAGCAAGCAAGCCATGGCTTAGTGGTACGTTATATAAATGCATCCATTCACATATAAGGCTGTTTTTAAATCACAATGTGGGAATAGTCTGAAAAATTCAAACTGGTTTTTGATGTTGCATTATCCCAAAACATTTTAATACAAAAAATGGAGGCATTTACATTACCTTCTCACATCTACAGATGTCGGAGCTTTTTTAGTTGATTTTGAAGGTGACATAGTAGCACGACTTTCGAAAGCTGGTACTTTTAGGCTTCCACTTACAGTTTTAGATGGAGCAAGTTTCTTTGTCCTCTGGACAGAATTATTAGCATTGGTTGGAACAGTCTTTAATAGTGGTTTCCGATTGCTGCGACAGTTTTTTTGGGTAGTCCCATTATTCTCTGTGCTACCACTGACAGATTGTTTCTCATGATTCAGAATAGTTTTGGGATGATAAACAGAAACTCTCACAGTACTGGTTTGAAAAGGGGTAGAATTTGGGACCTTAGGAGCACCAGCATTGCCAGCGACTTTAGCATTATTAGTTGTGGCTACTCTTGATTTAGGCAGAGCAGGAAGATAATTTCTAGACTCATTTGCTGGAACTTTTCTGAATGAGTTTACCTTAGAAGAAACTATTTTGCCACGATATGAGCCAAGTATGTGTTTCTCTGAAATGCATGGAACAGAGCTGGGGACATCTGCTTTTCTCTGTTTGTTTATGTTTGCTTTCTGTAGAAAAGTCTGAGTAAATGACATAACCTTGGATTTTACTGCTGCAGACTCAGGATCTGCTACTGTCATACTGTTTGGAGAATTACAATTTGTATCTGTCTTAATTTGTTTCAATACATGGGAATTTAAGTTTTTAGGGGAAATAAAAGTGTTTTCAAGTATACTGTCCACTTCGTTCCATATAGATTTGTTGGCATTTTCTTTATCTTCCTGAAAAAAATTAACATAGCATTAACATACTGTTTTAAATACTTTTTAAAGAATGATGTGAGGCACCTGGCATCCTGACATACATATACTTGTTTGCTGTAGTATTTCTTCACTTTTCACCTTCCAACTTTACTACTATTATTATTATTATTAAAACATCAGGACATTGGAAAAGCCAGTCACAATAGTAATTTCACAAATTTTGCTTATCATTGCATATTCATATTTATATGTTACTTATATGTTGTACGTATATAGTATGTTTAAATGTGTTGTATATGTGTACACTTTAAGAGCAAGTAACTAAATTTTTAATGTGTGCCATTGTGCCCACAGTAAAAAATGACAAAAGTTATCTAATTCAGTTTTTAAAACTTTAATGAACAAGTACCCTGCCTGGCTATACAGTACCCCAAGATCCTTCCTTACATTTCATATACATTATTTTGGTATAGTAATTTTTTTAAAGACAGCAGTTCCCACATCCTGTCTCTTAATTGTAATATAAATCTGCCTGCAGCTCCAGTCTAAGTTATCAATATCTTTTATGACTTACCATTTTTGTTGTTGAGAGAATGCAGTTTTCCAACTTTCCTAGATTTTCTAAAGAGAAAACAAACTCACTTGCAACTTTTAATGTAAAGCCTCATTTACACAATAAAATAGGTTTTACACCAAGCAATTTTACACATATTGTTTTCTGGGTTTCTTTTGGAAAGATTGCCGAATATGCAAGAAACGTTCCACCAGACAAACCCATTCAAGTTTGAGAGATGTCTCAAGCTGTTTTATACTTTAATGAAAACAAGCATCACAGGAGCGAAAAGAATGATATCGGCCTTCAGAAAACTCAAATCATAATCACTTCCCCCCCCCCCAAAAAAGCAAGAGTCCTTTTCCAGCTTCCCTTCTTCAGCTGGAATCGAGGACTATCCGGCGCCCAACAAAATTGAAAACTTTCCCCTCCACTACTTCTAAATTAAACTTGCTTTTGCTCAGTTTTTTTTTAACAGCTGCACCCCATCCGACCATTTCACGGCGCTTACCCACCCGCTTGCCTTGCAAGGAAAATATTTCGCCCGCAGAAACGACACAACCGACTCTCCGATGTCCTATATACAATCGCCCGTTGAAATTTAAACTCGCGCCTGGTGGTCACGTGGGCAATACGACCCTGCCGATTGGTGCACTCGGGGGCTTGAAATTAGCCAACCAGAGACAAGAAGCGCACTCTCCAGCGCTCAGCAGCCTCTGTGGTTCTTTTGAAAAATGCATGTCGGCTGATAACCATTGTTCTCCCCCCCCCCCGCATGGATAACCGTCCAAACTGGCTATTTTGTGCATATAAAGTTCTGCTTATAATCCTAGTTCTACCTCGTCTTTTTTTCCTCCTGTAATTTGTGAGTTCCTTTTGGGAACGAATGCGTGCTGTAGCACAACTATGTCCAGTTTATTTTCTGTCTTTTCATTTTGGGAGAAAGAAAGATGGAAAGTTGGAGTCTTGGAAAACAATTCTGAAAAAAAAAATTATTGTCCCACTAGCTTAGGAGTTGTTTTTGTTTATAAATACAGATTTACAATCCCATTAAAACTCCATGGCTCATAGTTTTTAAACATGCTCAATTTGTTCAAAAGTTACTCCTCCACACAGTGCAGGTGGGAATAGGGGAAAATATTCTTGAGATATTTTAGAAAAATTAATTCTGACCTGCTCAGAGGTCTTGTGGAAAAATAAAGCCTTAAAAAATATAAGGACTTTTACGAAATTCCAAGGGTGAAAGAGAGATTTTTATTTTTGCGCAAAAGGTTCAGAAGTGATTTAACAATCAACAAATTTCTGAACAAGGGGGAGGGTCTAAACTAAAGCTTTATAGGTTTCTTTTTCTCAGGAACAAAGGAAGCATAGATGGAATCTTACATTGTATATGGAATCTACTTTGTATAACATTCAGATAGTTTCTCACAGTTAGCTCCATTTCTCATGGGAATACAATGAAGGCAGTTTTTACTTTTATACAATGTTTCTAAATATGCATTAGATCATTCACCTACTGTTAATACAGCTTTTGGCTAACAGCTTTCTTTCAGAGATTATGCAGACACATGATTTTTGCTTTTAGTGATTTTTCATTATTATTATTATTATTATTCTACTTTATTCTTCTTTATTCTATGTTATTCTATTTCTTTCCCACTTTAGAGGGAGTGGGTGAATAGCAAATCTGACTTTAAATAAGCATATGTACAAGCTTACTCAGAGCTGTATCCAAATATAGTTCTTTGATTTCTTTTTGGTAGATTATTAATTGAAAACTTGCCACTATATTCCCATCTCTGAAATTTGAAGCATCACAGCTATAGATCATAAATTGAAGGTCTAGGGCAGTGGTTCTCAACCTTTCTAATGCCGTGGCCCCATAATACAGTTTCCCATGTTGTGGTGACCCCCAAGTGGGTGTGGCCACCAATAAGAGGGAATAGGACAGCTAGGGAAAAGGGGAAAAAATGGCGGACAGCGTGGTTTGGCGACCCCCGTGAAATGGTCGTTCGACCCCAAATGGGGTCCCGACCCACAGGTTGAGAACAACTGGTCTAGGGTTTGCCAACTTTGATTCAGATTACTCACTAGATGCTAGAAGCATTAATAACAATGCTAAAGCTGAAATATTTTGACAACAGAAAGCAGAAGAAGCAAGCATCTTTAGAAATATTGGAAAACATTGAAGGCAGTGGGGAAAAAAACTGGCAAAATATAAGGTGTCTAAAAATATAACACAAGATCAGACCTTTGGCCTGTATAGTTCAGCAGTTTATTCTCACAGTGGCTAACAAATTGCACAAAGAACTACTAATCTACCAGCAATGTCACCCTGTATCAAGGTTAATAACCACAGATCCACATGGCTTTCATGAATCTATCCAGATATTTTTTTGAATCCTGGTGGCCAGCTCCATGTCTCATGGTAGACTTTCAATTTATGATCCACACACACGCGCACACACACACACATATGGCTCCAAGTGCCATAATGCTTTTTCATAGGAAAGCTACTCAAGCCTTTTCATCATTGTAGTTGTTCTTTTCTGAACTTTCTCTATGTCCATTATATTCAAGATATACTTACAATACTGATTTATATACAATAAGGGCAGTATGATATTGGCATCTCTATAATTCTTTATAAACCCTAACATGCTCTTGGTCTTTTCTACAGTCTATGCACTCTGCGTCAACACCTTCATTGAAGTGTTTACCATTCTTCAAAATTTCTTACCTCATCAGTCACTACTAAATATAATCCCATTAATTTGAAGAGTAGTTAGGATTATTGGCCCTAACATGAATCATTATACAATTGTTCACCTCTGCCATTTTGATGCCCACTCCCCTAATGTGCAGAGTCATTTATTGTTTATACCATTTATACAATTTAGTGTCATCAGCAAACTTAGTCACATTCAATTCCACATCATTTATAATTATAGTAAAAAGCACTGGTCCTAGAAAAGAACAATGGGAGACCTCACTGGTTATATTCCTCCGTTGTGATAAATTTTAATTTATGCCTATTCTTTGTTTTTGTTCATTAGCTAGTTATTCACAGGAGGACCGGTCCTTTTATTCTGTGATTGTTAACTGAGAAATCTTTGATGAGGGATTTTATCAAAGGTTTTTTTTTTAAAATTGGATCTATCTACTAGCTCACAGTTATTAACACATTTTATTTATCTATTTTTAAATGTATTTATTAAATTTCTACACTGCCTATCTCACCTAGGAGATAGGTGATTTACAAAAATATACATTAATATTATTAAAAAAACCTCTAGCACTGTAGATTAATTACATAGGACCTTTCCTTAGTGAAGCCATGTTGAATAACTTTGAAGAAGACCTGTGTTTCCAAATATTTGGTAATTTTATCTTCAATAGAAATTTATATTATCTTCCCCAGAACTAATGTTAAACTGACAAGGTTATAAGTTTCTAAATAGCCCAATGAGCTACTCTTAAATATGGAGTTATACTGGCAACTGTCCAATTCTCAATCCCAGAGGCTAAGTATAGAGAAAGATAACATATTTTAATTATAAGATACACAATCTCAGCATAAAGCTCCTTATGAACTGTTAGGTGGTTGCTATTTGTTGATGTTCAGTAACAAAGATGTTCAATATCAGATATCAGAATCTTGAGTTTACCAAAACTCAAAAGTTACTAATAGGTTCTGGGCAAGCAATAGATTTTCAGCAATCAGATCTTTTGACAAGCAGAAGATTATGAAAGTAAATCCAATTTAAATACCAATAAAGCTTGCCTTTAGTACCTTGAAAGCAAGGCAGTGATTCAAAACCATTCTGCATGTGAGGAAAATGCTATAGTTAATATAATTGTTCTGCTATATTGTACATAACATGGGTCCATTACTAGAGTGATACTGAGATTTCCAGTTCTGCTCCGCACCCCACGGCTGTTTTCGCTCTGCCAGGGGATCCTAAATGCGTCTGATGTTGCCCTGGAGAGGCGATGAAGAGGGACACCCCAATGATCACGGATGACAGCGTTCAAGCCGTTCAATCCAGGGGAAGCCCTCTAACCGGACAGGAGAAAGGCTAGCTGCACACCAGCGTCTAGGTCAGTGGTGGCGAACCTATGGCACGGGTGCCAGAGGCGGCACTCAGAGCCATCGCCCCAGTCCTAGGCCTTTAGCTCGGTTTTATAAAACCTTTTCGCTTTAGGCCTCACCATTGTGTGCAAAAAAAAAAAAGGTTCAATCAGTCAATTTCAACTTCTTGCGGGGAAAAAAAAAGATCTTGCAAAGTTGGAATTGATTGACTGAACTTTTTAGTCCCACCCAGTCTGCCTTACCACCGCAGCCATGCCCAGCCAATGGGCCACGCCCAGCCAATGGGCCACACCCAGCCAATGGGCCACACCCACCCGGCACTCGACGATGCATAAGTGGGTTTTGGGTTGTAGTTTGGGCACTCGGTTTCTAAAAGGTTCACCATTACTGATCTAGGTGGATCGAATGCACTACAGGAGGTGCTCTGCCAATATTTTCAAGAGTATCGCCTTTTCTTGCAGTGGACTTGGACCCATCTTCCCATATTTTCCTTGGGAACCCATACATTTGCATCCTTTGAGTTGAGCTAGATTCCTTGTGACTTAACGGCCACTTCCATATAGTTCAGTGGTGGCGAATCTATGGCATGGGTGCCAGAGGCGGCACTCAGAGCCCTCTCTGTGGGCACGCACACCGTCACCCCCAGTCCTAGGCCTTCAGCTGGGTTTTATAAAACCTTTTCACTTTAGGCCTCCGCCACCATGTGCAAAAAAAAAAAAAAAGGTTCAATCAATCAGTCAATTTCAACTTCTTGCGGAAAAAAAAAGATCTTGCAAAGTTGGAATTGATTGATTGAACTTTTTAGTCCCACCCAGTCTGTTATTACCACTGCAGCCACACCCACCCAATAGGCCACACCCACCCAATGGGACACACCCACCCAATGGGACCCACCCGGCATCCGACGATGCATAAATGGATTTTGGGTTGCAGTTTGGGCAGTCGGTCTCTAAAAGGTTCGCCATCACTGATATAGTTTATCTGGCAAGAATGTAAAAAAGGTTTGCCATTGCCTTTGAAATATTTTTTTCACCTTCTCAGTCTTGTCTATTGCTTCAAAATTTCTCTGTGATTCATTTAGTAGCTACATCTACGTGATTAGCTTTTTGAGATTAGCCAAGTTCCTAGTCTAGATACTGAGGAACTAATAGGGCACAGAGGAGAGAGGTGATAAACAATATGATGCAATGGCATTTCATCCCAAATACACATAGCAGTGATTCCTGGAAGTTTTTTGTTTTTTTTAACAAATAGAATAAAAATTCCCACATTTTGTATACCAACGTTTCTGTTAAAGAATTAGTTTTTGAATGTTACAGTGAATGTCTAGATTCAGTATAAAAATGCCAGTCCTTCTTCTGATTTATGGATGCCATTTGCAGATGCAAGGTCCAATCTGATCTATACAATTTATTTGAAAATAAATTCCACGGACTGAGTTTAGGGTGGACCTCAATCAAATTTGCCATTAATTTTCAGGAAAGCCTATTATC